AACATTCTTAATGTTTAACAATAATTTTCAATTTGGATGCTTCTTTGGAATAAACTTGAATCTGGAGTGTGTTTTCATTGTTTCGAAAGATCTTTGTTTTTCAATATCCGTCAATTGTAAGCTAAATTCAGAAAGAAATTTATTGTATCGTAAACGTGTTGATTTCTCCAGACATAACGAAAACCAACTGAATTGAGTTTATATTGTCTCATTGTTTCAGCCCAACACTTTTCGTTTCTTTCAGTTTTCATCAGTTGAATTTTATAACACTATAAAAACAAATCTATTGTGATCCACTTCAAGGATGCGCAACCAATAACGAATTAATCGTGAGAGGAATCTTCCCAACTCGGATATAACTGCGACATTAGATGTTCTTACTCCCAGTACATAATTGCAGAATTTGTTGTGAATTCTCTCAATACAAATTAATACTAATTGAAGTAGCCCATATTTCACTACCATAAGTATAGGTGATAATTTAACCTAAAAAATATGGTTCAAAGTATTTGAAGGCAAGTAATTATATTTTCGTTGGATGTGCAACTTCGAAACAAAAAATGCCTTATTGGCTCGCGTACAGTTACTTTCCATTGCTTTATTCCAATAACTAAAAATGACACCTAGGTATTTAAAAAATATTAATTATTTCAACCTTACTTTCTTTATAATACCATTGTTCAATATTTTTCAGTTTTCTCTCCTTTTTAAATACAATTATTTTGGTGTTGTCAATATTTACTGAGAGATCCCAAGTATCAAGTTTATTTGAAGAACACTAAACCATTTACTGTATCATTAATTAATAGGCCGTACTAGGTCATCAGAGTATAAAAGGTGATTAATTATGCATAAATCAAGATGGATTTGTTTGTATTTTCTGTTTCGTTAAGACTTTGACTAAGATATTTAAAAAAAAATATATTAAAAAGTAATGATGAAAGAGGCGACCCTTGTTGTACACCAACCATACATTTAAATGAATAACTTAAATGTTCACCAATTTTAACATGAGCCTGTAATTTAGAGTATAACGATGCAATTATCGTAACTATCCTACCTCCAACACCGATTTTCTGTAACTTGTGTATAAGGAATTTATGATTGATCGAGTTAAATGCACGTCTGAGGTCAACAAAGGAAACATAATCTCCCTCGTTTCTTAGATAGGTACGGTACTTATGTATGGTCGTGTCTAATAAGAAAATATTGTCTGTAGTGCAATATCTTTTTCGAAAGTCAAATTGTTCTTGTGCTAATATTTGTGATTCTTCCTCCCATTCATTGAGTCGAAGATCCAATATAAATAACAACATTTTTCCAAGAATTGATAATAATGATACACCTCCAATAATTTGCAGGATTGCAATAATTGCCTTTTTTATGAATTGGTACGATCAAACTTGGTGCCCAACTTGATGGAAAATTGCTAGTTTTAAAGACCCCATTATACAGAATGGTAGACAATAATGGAATGTAGGCAACACAGTTTAACTGGAGAAACTGTAATATTCATGTAGGCCTACTGGTCCTGTCATACTAAAGAATAGTGAGTCGCTATTAGTGATGCGCTAAAATGTCAGGAGACGGGAGTCGAATTGCTTAATATATGGATGTTCGCTTTTGGAAAGAAATGCCTCTGTTCCTGCCGGGGGTGATGGGGAATAGAATTTTCAGGCTTGCCAATTACTCTTCCTTTTCCAATAAATGTGGTATACTACACTCTGTAAAATTAAGGAAAAGGGGTAGGGCACTGTGACACACACTACGTTCCTCAAGATATTTGCACAAATTACGGTATTGATGCTATAGTAACAGAAGTGATGTGATATCGCTACTGCAGAGGTATACATATGTAAAGGATATAAAACGCTTCTTCAGAGGTCCCCCACAATAATAAAAATGTAAGTAGAATATTTACAAATTATTGATTTCAGAATCCATACTGTTTAGCTCTCAAAACGCTATTGTTGTACCTCTTGTGCACAAACCCCCAATGCTGGACCCTCAAATTTCTAAAGGTTCACTTTTTAAAACCCATTTTCACTATCGTTCCTAATTATTGCCAACTGCTGTAGTATGCATTTCATTTGCCATCTCTTCTAACTGTTAATATTTAATAAATGTGGTACGAATTTGTTATTTTGCGGATTTATCCATAGTAACAATGTTACTTCTATGCATACAGATGTACAGGTGTCAGGACATGAAGCGTTACTTCTTCAGGACCCCATGAACCCCAAAATTAATGCAAATTTAAATAGCATAATTATTAAATTATGGGTTTCAGAAATCCACTATAGGCTCAAAGCTTTTCCCCCAAACTACCACCAAGAGCACTGCCCTTTATCCATCTGGGGCTATAGTTGGCAAGCAGACTAAAGACCATGTTGCTAGCAAAACGCATCCCCACCCCCATCCCCACCCCCATCGAAACTGTCACGGGAAGAAATGTGCATCCTATAGGCCTTGATAGATTATGGGTGAGCCCAGTGAGGTTCAAAATCGGGCGATCATTATCTATGGCTTTATGAGAGCGTCTAACTACTATAGAAAAATCTAAAGCCCAAACCTCTAAGATTCTGATATGTTATTGACTAGTAAGGTAATATAGGCCTATTGGTTAAAATGATTTTTTTTTTACATACCAAGAACTGCAATTATAGATTTATATGTAGACAAATCTCAATTTTTTAAAGATTCTGATATATTATTGACCATCGAGGTAATAATACTGTATTGGTTAAAATGTGTTTTAATATACAGAGCATCAGTATAAATTCCAAAACCATTTATTTTGTACCAAAAATCGTCGTTTAAACTAAAAAATAGGAACAATTGGGATTCCTTAAGACTGTTATGTCAGATTCTGACATATTATTGATCCATGAGGTATGATATCGTTTAAAATATATTTTTACATGCAGAGCATATTATTATTAGTTATAATTTAAATGTCAACAAATCTATATTTTAAAAAAAAATCATATTTTTAGCCTAAAAATGACCAAAAATTGGGTTTTTTTTTTAATGTAAACCCTTATGTCAGGATTCTGAAATGTTACCGACCAGTGAGGTATACTTTTGATAGGAATATATTTTTACATGCCAAGCATATCAGGTATAGTGTAAATGTAAAAAAAAAAAATCTATTTTTTTTGGGCTAAAAATAATGTTTTTAGCCCAAAAAAGTGTCAAAAAATTGAGTTTTCTTTGGTTTAAGAGATTTTCTTAAAAAGCATGTTGATAAAACTATTTCATTCTTATATGCTTATTGTGAAAAAGAATGACCATATAGATTCTAAGCCTCTTTGTACAAGTAAGCCTTTTACTATAATAGTCAATACTAATTAATTAAAAACCATTTTTCCTTAAAAATTCTATTTTTACACCAACAATTCAATTTTTTACCCTAAAAAATTATTTTTCTTTTGGCTCCAGAGATTTTTCGAAATGGTACGCCGGCCATACTAATATCTGTACCAAATTTGGCACTTTTGTCATCCAGGTAATCCAATTATTAGCCTTTGCACAAGGTTAAAATCTAGATTAATACAAAAGCGACTTTTTCTTTCAAAATTTTTTTTATTTTCTTTATATTTTTTCATATTTATTTGCTTATTTCTGACTAAATAATGATCATATTGATTCTAAACCTACTTGTACTGGTAGGGCTTGCACTATAGCAGTAAAAAATACCAGAATATTGAAAACTGTATTTTTGCCCCAAAACGCGATTTTTTACCCCAAAAGTAAGATTTTATTTTTGGCTTCAAAGATTTTCTTGAAAAGCATGTTGATAAAAGTATCTCCACCAAAAATTAAAGTTTTGTCATCCGTGTCACGATTCTTCCATATTCTGACGTTAAGGCACTCTACTATACGTAATTCAATCAGATGTTTGTGGCCAGAGATATGGTTGTACAGCGCTCTTTCATTCCGTTAAAACTTGGGTCATTAAGCAGTTAATTTCAACAATTTTCAAAATTACATTGCGCATGAAAAATAAGGGGCGCATGAAAAATAAGGGGACCACCCCTACTCTAAAATATATGGGGGAATTGTCCCGATCGTGATCTGCGCTGTTTTGGGAGTGGGCGTCCCCTTCCATTTGAGGTTATTTTTTTTTTTATTAATAGACGGCTAGACGCGCTTAGATGTTAGGCTTAAAATAGAAAGTGTATGTTTTACCAGGGTAGTCTACAAGTAACATGTTTACTGAAGCACACACACAAGACGCGAGTGACCATTTATTTTTTTCACGACCACCGAAGGGGGGTTGCTAGCCATCCTATTCACAACCCCCCTGGGCCCAGATCCGCCACTGGAAACACCATATCAATTGCTTAAGTAATGTAATAGTGTATCACGTAAACAGGGGTGAAATCTTCTGTTTGCTAGCTCTCAGACTATATACATCAAGTCATTTAACCATTATTTAACTGATTACTGAAAACACTCCCACAAAGCGATAGTGTAGTACTAGCGATTTAAAAGGCAATCAGACTTTATTCATAATTGTCGCCCTCTATTGATCCTCTGCTTGTTTTTTTTTTTTTTTATGGAGGATCAGACTCTCTAAGCTGTCCATAGAGCTATTAAACAACTAGAGGGCTGACAAGATGGCGCAGCAATGCAGAGCTATGTATGTGTACCATCCAAGATGGCCGTCGTAGTAAAGCGCCACCTTCAGGCTTAGTATACATATTATTACATATTAATAAGCCCTCTGACTGACTATTATTTCATTAATGATAATGAGTAATGGTCAAATTATTAAACTATTGTAGCCAAAACGAGGCCAAGTGAAGCATCTTATTCAAAAATAAAGTACCAAGGAATGAAAATTAAAATCGTATACATTACACCCAAACACCGCAACGCTCGAGTTTCAAACATACAGGTAACTAGCTGTACTGAACTTTCTAAGTAAATTGAGGGCGCATTTGCAAACGATGGCGCTTAGCGAAACTTGATTGGCTAAATCTATGGTAGCCATCTTGGATGGTACACACACACACAGTTCTGCGTATTTGGAACATCGAATACATTGCGGTTAGCGCTCTAGTATTCTTATTATACCTCTATGAAGCTGTCTCATCTAAAATTGTGAGGTGAAATACAGGAGTGGGAAGAGAGAAGAGGTGCACCTTTTGGCTTTACAGAATGTGGCGAGAATCAACCGCACAACCTGGAAATTTATTTTGGTAGTGGTAGGCCTAGTTGACTGAGAAAGTGGACATTGATTAAGATGAATAATGGCCTACAAATATATTTACGATGACTCTCATGAAGGGTATTACAATCGACAGTACAATGGTCGGAATTTTGATCAGCCAGGCCCAACAAGGAGAACATTTTTAGAGGAAGAAATCAGTGACTGTGGTAGCAGTTGCAGTTTCACAGGTTCAGAATACTCAGAGTCTTCAGAGGACGAGTTGAGTGAATGCCTTAAAAATAAATTAGCGAAGCCTAGGCCCTAAGGGTATAGGCCTATGCCTAGCCTAGTGTTAAGTAGACCCAAGTCTGTGCAACTTGTACCCCTGCTGTAGCGTAGGCTCCTACCACTATGCTGTAGGCTAGCAAAGTTAGGCCAGGGCATAGCCTAGGCCTAGCCTAACCTAAGCACCTCTAGGCCCTATTCATCTGCACGGGGTACTAGGCCTAGCCTACTACTAGCCTAGGATAGGGCGTAGGCCCCAGCCTACTGCCCTACTGCTGCTAGGCTTGGCCTAGGTCCGCTAGGCTAGGACTAGGACCGAGTCCTATGCTAGGCCTAGCCTAATTAGTATTACAGTAGAACCCCTCATTTACGAATCCCGATTTTACGAACGTAAAATCATGTTATTGTTGTTATAAATACTCAATACTCAATAGATTTATTTTGTCATAGGTATGTACATACAATACACATACAATGAAATTCGGTCTGGTTCCCTAACAAAAAAACAAACATAAAATACGAAAATTCAAACTACTGAAGTGACTTGTTCAATGCCCTAAAATAGCGGAGGGATTGAAACTACTGTACGTAGAGATCTATCCCCTCCCGGTCACTAGTGATTGATATCGGCGACCACTCCGCATCAGAGTGAACAAATGGTTGGCCGGGTGATTTCTGTCCCCAGCAATCGTCATTGCCTTTTTAACCATACGGTCTTGATAGATTACATCTACCGAAGGCTGCTTGATTCCAATGATGCGGGATGCAGACTTAACTACACGATTTAGGTCCTTCTTCTCCTTCTCCGTGGTGTACCCATACCAGATAATAACAGAAAGAGTTAGAACGCTCTCTATTACTGACTTATAGAATTGACCCATCACAGGGGTACTAATCCCGAAGGACCTCAATCTACGTAGAAAATAATGTCGCTGCTGTGCCTTTTTCACACACTGATGAACGTTTCTCCCCCCCCCCCCCATTTGAAGTCATTTGTGATATATGTTCCCAAAAATTTAAAGGAATTAACTATTTCAACAGTAGAATTCTGGATGATTAGTGGTTCTTTTATATTTTTTTTCCGAAAGTCAACAATTATTTCCTTAGTTTTTGCAACATTTGTTTAAGATTGTTGTAATTACACCATCAATTAGTTGTTCTACGGAAGCCCGTTAGTGTCAACAGTGAATAAAAATTTAAAATCAGTTAACTGGCGGCCGCCACTTAATTATCTGGCGGCGCCACTTAATTATCTGGCGGCCGCCACTTAATTATCTGGCCGCCGCCACTTAATTATCTGGCGGCCGCCACTTAATTATCTGGCGGCCGCCACTTAATTATCTGGCGGCCGCCACTTAATTATCTGGCGGCCGCCACTTAATTATCTGGCGGCCGCCACTTAATTATGGGTATCCAGGTTGCAGTATAGCATTATCTTGATGTAGAGCAGGCCATTAAAGAGCATGATTGGCCTAGCATTTAATATACGGTAGCATTTAGCCTAGCTATTCATTTTAGCTACAGCTTGTAATAGCTTATAGGCCTAATAGCAGTTATATAGCCATTCACAAAATATATCTATATCTTTGCTGTAGCACATCAACTTTATTATATGTTCTATTTTGCTGTTTATGTGAGTGTGATATTGTCTGTTATAGCTGAGTTAAATATTAAAGGGCATTATATGATTAAAAGCATACTAGTAGCTGGTCACCATCTATACCTTATAATGGCAGTCATATAGCACCAA